GGACTAGTTTGCAATTATTAAATAGTTGAGTGGAAGGTTCCAGAAACCCCTTGGAAGGGGGTGGACGAAATATATAAGGGAAACCCTAATGATTTCGTCCAACGGGCTTGGATAAGGCCTTTGGACTAGCTTAGGCCCCAAGCAAAGGAACATTAGGGTTTTCCCTAAACCCTAGATACCTCAGCTATATAAGGAGCCCCCTGGCTCTCAAAATCGGCCACTCTTACTTTGGTGAAACCCTAGGGCCAAAAATTGAATACCCTGCTCTCTCTCTCTCTCCTTCTAGTTTCCTTCTTGCTAGCTCTTGGGTGTGATTCCATTAGAGGCATTACAATTGTGGTGCTAGGCTTCCAAGAAGATCAAGATCAAAGGATTTCCAATTGTTTGCTATAACAATTGAAAGGTATGTAACTCTTAAACCCTAATTGGTATTTTCGAAAATAGCCTCTCTCCTTAGGGTTCTTGTTTTGCAATTCAAAGTTATATGTTCAATAGTTAAAACATAGATCCAAAGTAGGTTGCATGTGAACTTAGGAATTGTTTTTCTAGTTTATTTGTTTCAACTAAAACCCATCAAAGTACTGATAGATGTGGAAGGTAGTATGGGACCCGTACTATTGAAAACAGAGGATTCATACTCGAGTCAACGAGGGCGGAGACAGAACCAGGGAACTTGTAGAGTGTATGTGACCTCTCGAGGTTATGTATGATCCTGATGGTTATGTGTTTTGTTTCAGAATGGTGGTGAAACGACACAGAGTAGGAGATTTAGGGTCTGGATCAGGATCAGGATCAGGTTCAGGTTCGGGTGCGGGATCCGCGCCGGTTGATGACGGACTACGCGAGTTCATCGCGTCAGAGATTACGAGAGGCATCCTTGAGGCGACCCCGGTGATTTTCGGGTCGATCAAGGAAGGGATTATCGAGCTGATAGAGAATCGCCTCAGGGCGTTTAGGAGTGACAGGGCGTCTAGACCACCTAAGCCGACCGATTAGCCTTAATACTATTTGGTTGAAGACCGCCTAGCGATTAATCCCCAATTAATCGGCCGCCTAGACCGATTTTTACAACACTGCTATTTTTAGAGCTCCGGAGTTTGTTGTGAACCGTTTAGAATCCTTTTGTAATGCTTTTTTCTTGGGGGTTGGCAAGAACGTAAAATGACTTTGGTTAAATTGAAGAATGTATTGGATCAAATGCAATATGTTAGTCTTGCGGTTAATAGTCTTTTTTTTTCTCTCAACCGTGCTATTGTTTTTAAATGGATTTGGTGGTTTCTTTCACTTCCCATTGTTCTTTGGGTTAAAGTGAGTAAATCCATTCGTGGAGGACATGGTTACTTGGTCGTTCTTCACTGAGGAGTGTTGGTAACTCCATTTGGGTATGAATAGTTGATTCTTTACGTTCTAAAGGTATTGATCTTATGTCTTTTTGTAAAACCGCGATTGGAGATGGAAAGCTTAATTCGTTTTGGGAGGATCACTGGATTGGTAACGAACCTTTAAAAAATTCCTTCCTCAAATTATATGCCCATGCATTGGATAAGCAAATCATTGTTGCTTTGAAGATGCATCAACCGGGTTAGGTTCCTTCTTTTAGAAGAAAACCGAGATGGGGTATAGAGAAAGAGCGGTGGTCTGATTTCTCATATTTCATATCCTTGGTTATCATGTCTTCATCTTCGGATAGGTGGAGTTGGTCCCTTGATGGTTTCAGTTCTTTTTCTGTGTCTTCTGTGAGATCAGAAATTGATAAGCATTTTCTTATTGGGTCTAATTCAACTATTAGATGGTGTCGTGTTACTCCTATAAAAGTTAATGTTTTTGTCCTATTTGTGAGAAGAAAGTCGAGACTGTCACTCATTTGTTCTTTGAATGTGAATTGGCTATCTACTTATTGAAACTTTTATGCAGATGGTGGAATCTTCATATGCCTTCTTTGTTTTCGGTGCAAGACTTGATTGATTGGGTTGGCTTGTTGCGTTTGTCTTCTCTTTTTCAGGAGTTTCTGGAGGCTATTTTTTACACTCTCTGATGCTCGATTTGGTGCTTTATAAATTCTTTTCTTTTTGGTAAAGTTAAGCCTAAAAAATGCTTGTTGTTTGATAAGGTGGTTTCTCAAAGTTTCTTTTGGTCTAATAGTAGGTGTAGTAAGACTAATGTCAATCGTGTTGCCTGATTGGAGGACACAATTTTGCTTATTGCTTCCATATAATTGTTTCTTTTGTCAAGATTCTTGATAGCTTTCAGTTATATATTTGTCTTTCTAAAAAACGTTTGCATGTACAGAGTCAAACTACACACACAACCGAAGAAACTACATGTCTGAATATATTTGCTAAAAATTTAGCAATTATTCTAAATTCCCAATCGATGAAAGTATTCTAAAATCAGTCACGCATAGTAGATTACTAAAGAGCAATGAAATATTGATTATATCCATTCAAGATCCAAATTGACTTTTTAAACTCATCAATAGCTTCAGTAAATTCATTCCCAAGAATATCCTAATAATTTCTCAGAAAAGTAAAAGAAAACCCATCTACTGCAAAATATGTTTACCTCCACAATCCAACACTATATAGCTCCTTAATTTCAAAAACACAAATCACAACATCCATAAACCAACTTCCAGATCGGATAATATTTTAAGCAAATTAGTTGATTAGATAGCACGTTAGTTCACCGTTTTCAATGAAAAAACAACTAAAAATCGCCAAATGGGAAGTCGAAACCTTATGCATCGGAATGCTATGAATGACCAACCTACGACTTTTACTAATTAACATAATCTGAAGTTTATTTTACAATTTACATATAAAAATTTGTTGATTTAGCCTCAAATAGAATGATCATATTAGCTCAACGTTAACAACAATTCAACTTGCAAAGCCTGAGTCAACAACGATTTGCAAAGATCAAAACTTATGGATTTGAAGGTTTATGTATATGAAAACTTAATATATAGGTTAGGAAGAAGATGATTGTTCTTTGCGTTTTTATGGTCATCATGTTTTAATATTCTTAATTGGTAAATGTTAATGAAAGCAAGGAATAGATGAAAATACCAAAATACACTCATGTGCATAGCACATAAAGGGTCTTAATGGTTACACCTTTAAGGCAGTTAAGTTTAGGGCCAACAGGATAGCCAAAAAACCAATGAAGGATCAGCCGTGCAACAAATGAATCTTATGGACTAAATGATGTTATTTTCAATAACCATAGGGACCAAACATGTAATTACTTTTAATACAATTTAAGAGAAATAAAGCTTAATATTTTTTATTTTTTTTTCGGCTCCTATATTTCATTCCCTCAGCCAAGTTCATATTCCAGATATTTGATTAAACGGATTTGGCTGTCTTAAATGGGTCAATTTTGTAGTGACCTAAACCCATAGATTCCATTGAACGACACTGTTGATCACTTGTATGTTGATTTTTCCTTATATGGTTACATGTATAAAAGGCTAAATTGGAGTCCTCATCAAATACTCCAAAAGAAAAGGATCTGTCCCTAAGAAAAAATTATTGTGCAAACAAAAAAAAAGAAATCAACACTAGTTAGCTAGAAACTAAAACCAAATAAATTTATAGTGGAAGTATTAGCAAAGAAGAAAGCAAGAAAAATCCATTTAGAAGCTTATAAGGGGTACATGAGAAACGTAATGCACATGCACAGCAAGCGTGCTTATTGTACTTGACTTGGTATGCTACCTTATTTTATTAGTCTCACATGTGAAGGAACTAGATACGATCTTAAAACATATAAAATACATACGATTACCACATTTAGAAACCAAAATGACGTACAACCGACCATCTAACATTTGTTTCCATCAAACACAACATGCATGCATGCTGTCATATATCATGTCACGCCTGAAGAATGACACCCAAAGAGTCTACGGAACTGCCACACTTTCCATAGAATCCCGAAAACTTACCGCGTGTGACCCCAAATGAGAAATCAGTCCCAGGGTTTGTGCCGTATTCCCCATAAGTTCCGATGTTGGTCTGGAAAGTCACTGAGGTAATCACAGTGTTGTCACCAAATGATCCGACACGCCCACTAATCCCGATGAGGTACTCATTGTCATCGAAGATGATCTGAAACCCAAATATAAATATCATTTCACGAGATCCACGTTTTCCAATTCCTAAAAGCTAGAGATGGTTGTTGGAAAAAAAAAATTAAATCCGATTGATACAAAATATTTTCAAAATAAAACATTTGACTAAAAACTCACATGATGCATGTGTAAGGAGTCTTGGTGTGATCGTCTTATATTTCCTCATGCATTAATTACAAGCAATGAAGCAGACATGAAACAATAATTAGTATCTAACACATTACTATTATTCCATAAATAAGTGTCAAAACTTTTGTATCTTTTCTTCCTGTTTCCATGTCTTGTTAGGCGTTTTTGGCATATTTCTAGCTTAGCATGATGACTTTTTATAAAACTTTTTCTTATCAACGTCAATCCACCATTCAATTATTTTTATTTAAGGTCCTCCAACACAAATCAATGGTATATATTACACCTCTAACTTTTCAATCTTTTTTACTTTGGAATTTTATCATAAGATTTTCAATCTTTTTTACTTTGGAATTTTATCATACGATTTATTTATATTTAGACAAACTCCATAAATGATATTTGTTTCCATTATTTGAGAGTTTTGGTCCCTAAAATTTCAAAATCAAAAACAGTCTTTTCCAATAAGTTTTGTTGTTTATTTGGTCACACACAAAACTGAAATGACTAACTTGTCATTATTATATTTATTTTCTAATTTTCTTTCTTTTCTAAGTATTTTATTATTATTAAAACAAAAATATCACGAATGGTGCTTTTGCCTTAAAAACTTTCCTTCAAACGATCATTTTGATTTTTTTTTTATCAATGACCCCCTTCGACAAAAGTTGCATGATCATTATGTATAACATGAGAGAGAGAGAGAGAGAGACGTTAAGTCTGGTTAATGATTATTTGGGAATTTTACTGAAAATTCGCATAAGAACCATTTGTGAAATTTAAAAAAAAAATCTATTATATATGGTATTAATTATCGTAAATCAAATAAAAAAGCAAATAAACTAAAACATATAACATTTAGTATTTATATTAAAAAAATGAATCAATAAAAAACTTATCGTATGTTATACAAATTTAACTTTTAACCAAACCAATTAAACGAATTAGTTGAATTTTATTTTATCGTATTTTAGTTAATATTTTTAAAGTCAATAGATTGCATAGTTTTTTTTAATTGAAGACAAAAATATATTTGTATTATGAAACCAAAATAGAAATATATTTTTAACTTTCACTCAAAACTATATACTTGTATTTTTAAAACAAAATAACAACATAGTAGTATTTTTATAATAACATTTGTTTTATAATAACATATAATATATTTATTAAAATAAATATATTTATATAAGAAAAAATAAGGATAAATCTCTCAAATTATATCACGTAAAAATTAAAAGCAGATAAAATGATGTTTTTATGAAACTCTAAAAGGCATTAGTCCGGATAACTACCATCCATCTGTAATGTCCCAAAAATACCAAGCAAAAATTTCATTTTTAAATAAGTCAAAATCATTCACTTCTTTTTTCAAAGATCAGAGTAAAAGTATTCTAAAAAAATCAGAGTAAAATCATAAACAGTTAATACAGAATAAATCTCCAGGGGATGTAGTGCGATCAAGCTGAGCCTTTCTTTTTGAAACCAGAAGTACTTGAAAACATTTTAAACATAAACCGCAAGCACAAAGCTTAGTGAGTCTCCCAAAATACCATATATCAAACAAGAATGGGCCCAACCTAACATACATGCTTCGGGCCCAGACCATGTCGGGCCCAACCAATATCATTCGGTCTCAACTCATATCATTCAGGCCCAACCCATATAATCGGGCCCAACCCATATAAAACATACATAATCGGGCCCAACCCATACCAAACATATGTAATCAGCCCCTATCCATGTAAAACATACATAATCGGGCCATACTCAAAAAAGTTTTGAAAGCAACCAAACCCATGGTTTGTAGTGAAAGACAGAGATTCCAGTTAATGTTTACAGTGAGTACTATAACCGAGCTATGCGATTGAATGTACCCTCTACAATGCTTCATTGGACATTGTAGTAACAATTGTAGACATTTATCACCCGCTTCGATTGATCGGTCCAGCTTGTAGCTAGCAACCGAATGTGGGGATGTCAACCCCGTATAGACCTATACATATGTATCTCGCTCTAAAGATTAATGGTTATATTAGTATGGGTATGCTAAGTGTTTAGACTCAGCTAATGAACACAGTCTCACTAAAAAGCCCTTAACTAAAGTATGTGAATGGCTCTCAGCCCTAACTTAATTGTGGTTAAGTCACTAGGCATAATGAATTTCATTGTATAAAGTTTATAAAAGTCGAGTATGCTTGGTATGTATGTAAAAGTGTAATGTAATTACTTTTATAAAGATGTACTGATAGGCAGAGAACCACGAATGACCCGTTTGTCGAACCGGAACCACTTCAAGAACCGAACCAAGTGGATCCCGGGTGGGTTAATTTGATTCAATCAAATCCCACGTGAGCTACAGTTCAGTCAATTTGATTTCCATGTTATTTCATTTCTTCTTCTTTTTTTTAATGTTTTTTTGAATCTTTCAAGGCAGTTATTTTATTTTCCCAAAAACGTAGCTACATGGGTGGTTGTATCCCTTTTCTCTCGTATGTATTGCTAGAAGAAGGTATGAGAAAGACAGTTTTTATTTTTGCTACAAAATTATTTCTTTTCCTTGAGATTTTTCCATTGCTATTCTAGTCTTTGGCAGGATTAGAAGGTGATCTTGGAACCTGATTCGGGCTTTTGTGGTGTGACTGTATCGAGACTTCCCAGTTGGAACTACCCATCGAATCTTTGAGTGGTGGCTTTTACTGTATCTCTAAGGGACGCTGCTATTACATCTGATTTCGGGTTATTTTTTATTGTTGGATTCAATCAATAAGATGTTGGTTATCATTCTTCAAGAAAGTTTGCCCTCAAACTTGGTATAGGGTCTTCAGGATCGTAGTATGGTTGAAGATCAGCAACATTGAATGTGGTTGATACTGCTGGTGTTCCTGGAAGATCAACTTTGTACGCGTTGTCGTTAAACTTGGTTAGAATTTTAAACGGACCTTCAGATCTGGGGCTAATGTAACGCCCGTAGATCCAGGCTAGTCAATTTAGAGACAATAAGCATCAAAAATGAGTTTTTGATGGAAGATTATTTAGAAGGAATAATCTTAACCAAATGGTAGTATATGTTACAAGGGTTCCGTACATATAAAGAACGCCGAAATCCGAGTTATAACGAAGAAGTTATGGCTCGTCGAAGTTTTACGGCAAAACCGGCACAACACCGAGAAGCGTAAATAGTGAATTTACGATAGATCGACTTTTAGCGTTAGCGATCTAAACAAAAGTCATAGAATATGTTAAACCGAGAGCGTCCATAAAAAGAACGCCCAAATCTGACTTCATATGAGGAAGTTATGATTTTTTGAAGTTTCGGCTTAGCAGTGTACATCCCGAAGTTCGAATATTAGATCGAGCGGTTTTTAACCAACACAACCTAAACGAGAATCGAAGATCTTGTTAATAGTAGCGTAACGATAAAAAGACAGATGAAAACGGACGTCGGATGAAGGAGTTATGAATTTTTA